CCCCCCCCTGCTCCCTACCCCTTGCTCGAGGAGGCTGATACGCACGGCAAAAACGACAGTGGCTGACCGGAGGAGGGAGTGGCCCAGGAGGGCCGCTGGAAAGGTGTATTTTATGGTCAGAGGACAGGCACCATCTTTTACCAGAGGGTGCCGAGCTGGGCCAAGCCGGGGGCGCTCTGCGTCCTCGCGATCCATGGGTCGATGCAGCCCCGAACGAGTGCTGCCACCTTGACCTGGTCCCCGGCGAAGGCGTCGATGCAATACCAGGGAAGCCCCTGGCAACCGGCGTCCGGAGCGGGCTCCTCCACAGCCGGCAGAGGGGTGGTCGCAGAGCCGACCTCCAGCTGCCGAACCCCGATGGCGGAGCTCAGCCGATCAAAGCCGGCCTGCACAGCGCGCATGATGTCGACGCGCTCGTAGCGCTCATCACCGAAGCCGCCACGGAGCTGAAGCATCTCATCGGAAACGCGCGCGGTGTCCAGGTAGATGACAAGATCCGGCCGGGGCAGGCCGCCATCATAATGGTCAATGCACCATTGAAGGGTGTCCGCGGGCGAGGAGGAGCTCTTCTGCAGGAGTTTGTGTGTGCGGGTGTGCAAGTGAGCGTGAGCGTGGATGTACGCGGGTGCGGGAATGGCAGGTGGGTGTCCAGACGAGAGGGAGGGCCATGGGTGGTTGTTCAGCGAGGGAAGGAGCCACATACATCAACGGCCGTGGTGTAGGCCACGCCGGAGAAGGCATACCGGTCACACACGATGTGCACGCCGGCCGCCAGCTGGGCCCGGATGTACTCGGCCTTCTCCTGGCGGTTCTCGGAGAACAGCCGATGCAGGTGCCGGATGTCGCGCTGCTCGCTGCCTCGGAGATACTCGTCGATCACCTTGCCAGTGGGAGTCGAGCGATCTGCCGACGGGGTCCGGGACACGGGGCATTGGAAGTCAGCCAGGGACAGAAAGCAGACAGGCAGGCCGTAGTGGCTTGAAGGAAGGAGGGCCCGCGTCCGAGGGAAACCACTGTGTCCCCGCCAGCGCACCGGGGAAAGCAAGCACTTCCACATCAAGAGACAGGCTGGCAAGGTGGTCATGTAGCAGGCGAATCTGCGAGGACTTGCCAGCGCGATCAGTTCCCTCGAAAACAACGAAGAGGCCACGGGAGGCAGCGGGTTTGACCATGATTGAGGAGGGCAGAACTGAGGGGCGGCAGGGCGATCTCGGGTATATCTGAGAAATGAGGTGTGCGGGGGGGGGGGGGGGGAGAGGGTGGGAGGCGGGCTGTTCCAGGCAGTGGGCGATCTGCGTGTGTCCCCCCAACAGGCAGAAAAACAACACCCCGCTCGGATCTGACATCGGAGAATCTGACATTGTCCCGTCTAACTCCCCACCCGTCCCCGAGAGAGGGAGACCGACGCGTACCCAGGCGCAGATTGGTCCCACCCTGCGACTTTAGCCCATCGCCAGTCCGCCCAAGCAACGGATCTCTCTCTCTCTCTCTCTCTCTCTCTCTCTCTCTCTCGCGCGCGCGCTCTCTCTCTCTCCCTTCCACCCTCCCTGCCCCCCTTCCCTGTCCGGATTGAATCCACAGGACACATGTGGATGTTTGTATTTTTCTTTCGGCAAGGGCCCCCACAGGGCAGGGAGGAGCGCCGACCGCGCTTCACATCGCCTTGCCCTCCGGCGTGAGGCCCGAGTAGGACAGGCCGTTGGCCCAGAAGAGGACCATCTTGTCGAAGGTACTGCCGAGCATGATCGGCGATGAGTCCGTGCCGAAGACCATCTCCGGGCACAGGTCCGGCGTCTTGCGCATGGAGGCCGGGATCATGCGGTTGTCGGAGCTGACAATGTAGCTCTCGGTCGGCAGGCGGGCCAGCGGGTTGCGCACCACCTGCGGCACGAAGCAGTCGGAGTAGAGCTTCCGCAGGTCCTCCAGCACCTGGGCCGTCTGCGGGACGGCCGGGCTGGCGCTCCGGTTGTCAAAGGCCGATCCGGTGGTCGGGACGGCCGTCAGCAGGACAAACGTGTAGCGCGTCGGCGTCTCGAAGGAGTGCAGCTTGAAGCCAGACGTCTGGAAGGCCATGAAGCCACCATCGGGATCGGAGCTGATGCACGAGGAAAAGGGGGCAGGGGGCGGGTGAGGAGATTGCAGGAAGGGGAGAGGGCGAGAGAGAGAGAGAGAGAGAGAGAGAGAGAAAGGGGGGGGGGGAGAAACAAAGGCAAGCACAAAGCAAGGCCCTGGTCGACGCACGATTCCCCCACGGCCGAGGACAAACGCTCGCTCATGGCACGCGCGGAGAAAACCACGCCGTACACCAGTTTCTGCTCCTCGGCCATGGACATGGATGACTGGGCACGGAAGTTAGATCGAGGCCAGGGGCCAGGCATGCCCGGCAGGACAGCGGCCGGCGGGATGTCAGGGCAATCGCGCAGTCGGGCAGCCGCGTACAGGAAGGGGCCGAGAGAAGGACCGATAGTAAAGGCAGTTGCAGAACCGATCGTAGATGTAAAGCGTGAATATCATTCCTGGAGATGGATGGCCGCGGTGCGCAGCGAGGCCGAGGCGGGAACCAGGGGGGAAAGGCAGGCGAGGGGCAAGGAGCAAGCGCGGGCTAGGTGAGGCAGGGTCGGGGACGGGACTTCTGGACGCCTCTCCTGCTGGAATCCACACACAGGTCACCAGCCGATATTGATCTGGCCCTGCCCGCCCGTCCTGCCTCCCCCCCGCCCAGCCGGCCGGGGCGCAGACCGCTCTCCTCCCCCCGAAGAAAGTATGCCTGCCGGCGCGCCCAAACAACCGGCAGAAGGACGAGACATCGCGAGCTGGCGCCCACATAGCCACGTGATCACGCCGACTTCAGAGAGGGCCGTTCTCCTTTCCAGGGAGACCAGTCGCGATGCGGCCGCACTGGGACGCTCGCCTTAGCCTCTCTCTCTCTCTCTCTCTCTCTCTCTGGCTCTGCCCTTGCCGAATGCCGCCCGCGGCCGGATGGCCCTCACCGCGCTGCCAAGCCATGCGCCTGGCCCGCCGCCCAGGGGGAGAGGAAAGTCGGGGGAAGCAAGAGGAGGCGCCTCATCGGAACACTCTGTCCGGATGTGCTCTTTCTCATTTGGAGGGTGTATTGTTGGGGGTGGATCGAAAGCGCACTCTCCCCCCCCCGTCCCCGCTACGACCATGAGTCTCCGGCAAGTCTCCCCTTGGAGGCGTGCGCATCCACATGAAGAGACAAACTGGAAGAACAAGGGCGAGTGCTTGCTAGTCCAAAACGGCGGGGAGGCGCGTGGAAATGTGCGTGTGTGTGTGTGTGTGAGTCGGTGTGCTGGCACATGTCGCCGACCGGAGGGAAGGCGGGATATGGAGGGGACCGGGCGCGACGGATGCCTGGGAAGCAGCAAACGAAGAGCGGGTGAGCGGCTTACTCGAAGTCGCGAGGGTCCTTGAGCTGGTTCTTGGCGTAGGTGGTCTCGGCCCAGTAGAAGATACCGAGGCTGGGTAGGGGACGATATTGGGCAGAAGGGGATGGGACACAGAGAAAAGGGCGTCCGAGGGGGGGGGTTGCCAGGAGAGTGAGTGAAAGGTCACCGAGATGAGAACGAAGGACTGAAGGGAAAGAAGCGTGCGAGGGAGGGGGGAGGGGGTGCGTACTTGAGGATGATGGCCGGGGCGATGAAGGGCAGGCTAGAGGCAACACGGTGGGCCATGTTGGTGATGCTCTTGGAGAAGAGACCGTAGAAGGGCTTCTGCACGTAGGGGGACCAGCTGTAGGTGATGATGCCCTTGGACTGTGCGCAGGATGAGTGTGAGTGTGTGAATGTATGTGCTGCACGTGTGAGTGAATGTAGGGCACGCGCGAGTTGGCATCGGGAGTGTGGGAAGAAGGCTGCTGGTCGGGCGGAGGGGGGGGGGGGAAGCCAAAGGCAAAGGAGGAGTAGAAAAGGGAGGGCAGGGGAGACGCACCTTGGGGCCCATAGCGCCGAAGGGGCCCATGTAAGAAACGCCATGCTCAACAGTCTTGCGGAACATCTTGGAGAGAGAGTGTGTGTGGTGCGATGAGGCCAGGCTATTCGAAAAGCAACACATCCAAAGGGGAGAGGGGAAGGGGCAAGGAGGGCGCCCAGATGCGCGGGTGAGTCATCAGCCGGAGCGGAGGGGGTTGATCATGGCAGCAAGGCGCGCGCGCGTGCGCGCGGATAGCAAGAAGGGGAGGGCCAGGGAGAACGGGCCCCGGCGGAATGGGAGGAGCGGCGAGAGAGAGAGAGAGAGAGAAGCAATGGCGCAGGAGCGAGACACGGGAAGCAAGGGCATGAGGAAGGAAGGCGAGCGGGCGGGCGGGCGGGCGGGCGGGCGAAGAGAGCGAGGGGAGGGAGGAAGACGGGGGATCTCGTACAGGGGGAAAGAGAACCTGTCTATCTGGTGGAGGGGCCGCGGAGGGCCTTGGCGGAGGTGGGGCGGCCGGCGAAAAGGCGCCTCGGTGTACTTGCCACCCGTGGATGTGGGGGTCCGGCACAGCAGCAGGTGACAGTCAAACGGGCATATGGGGGTGTGCCTGTACGCACCGTGCCGCGCCGCCCTGTGCGACGCCCGGCGCCGGGTGGCTGCCCCCCCCCCCCCCCCAGGAGGCACGGAGCAAGGCCTGGGCAGGCATCATGGGGTCGAGAGGGCGGCACCGGGCCCGGGGCAGCGCGCGGCCGACACCAACACAACCCCGTCTTCTTCCCCCAGGCTGGCAAGCCGGGGAACATGTTGCGGGCAGGTGGATCTAGTGAACGGAATGGCATTGTGTTCTGCTCGAGGGCGGCGCCGGGTGATCACCCAAAGTCACGCCCCAACTTATGCGACGTGCTTCGGAATGTTCTCTGGCCCATTTTTGTTTCCCCCCCGTCGGAACCCTTGGCCGGCGTTTTTGAGCGCGTCCCTGTGCGTCTGTACCCCCCGCATATGCCTATTTGTGTGTCTGTGTGTGTGTCTCCCCCCCCCCCCCTCCATATACCTCCCTGCCCTCAACAAGGGAGCGTTTTCCTTTCTTTCACTGACACTGTCTCATGCCCGTGGCTTGTTTATATCCCTCCTACCTACAGTGACCTTCCCTCCG